CCGGAGCCCCGTAGCCCCCTCCATCTTCTGTACTGCCCCTCGGACTGTGGCGGAGCTGCGGCATGTCACCTAGGGAGGAGTGCCACCTAGCACTGCCCCTGGCACCTAGGAGTGCCAGGGGCAGATCAACTTCGGAGCCAGGATCGTCACCGGTACTCGTCGGTGAGGTTCAATGGCGGTGACTGCTCGAGCGCCAGGCTGGCGCGGTGTCAGTGACCTTGTCACTCACCGTGACGGTCTGGCTTGTACAGGGCCTTTGTAGGGAATCTTCCACATTTGAAGGTATTTAAGAAAACATCAGATGTGATAAGTTACGCTCACTCATAAGTATTGTTGCACTTTTAGGTGGAAAAGGGTACTCACAATTTACTCACAAAAGGGTACTCACAACAACACAATTTCTCTGTTAAGTAGATATGCACATCAATATGCCAGTCTTTTAACGCGTTTTCGTACCTCGCACAGCATTGATTGAGAGCCGGTTGACAGCCGTTATGTCTCGAAATTCATGCTCACGAACGCCAAATATGAAAAAACTCGGCGTCATATGTTATTTGACCTTGGTCGCCGCATGGCCAACAGCATGCATGGTCTAGATCGGTGCATGGTAGAATCTGAAGAGCGTTATCATGGCGTCATGAATGCCCGAGTGAACTCGAAAAAAATCCCTGAAAAGTATGCGCCTGCCCGCGGGCGTTTAACTCAGAAACTAGAAGGGTTTAGGTCTTAAGAAAAGCAGGTCCGTGAACTGCATCGGATGGTCTTCAAGATGGCTACTTCAGTTCAAAACTCCATGCAAATGTGGACCACCAAATGTGGATGCGGGCGACAGGGCCGGCCGACACCTGCCCTCCCCGCCCCGTGGCGGATTGATCGCGGCAACTGTCGATGGTGCCCTGATCACCAGAGGCAACTGTCGATGGTGCCCTGATCAACAGAGGCAACTGTCAATTGATCACCAGAGGCAACTGTCGATGGAACCCTGATCACCGGAGGCAACTGTCGATGGTACCCTGATCACCGGAGGCAACTGTCGATGGTACCCTGATCACCAGAGGCAACTGTCGATGGCACAGTGATCGCGAGTCTATCATACCAGGTTTGCTCGCACGGAACCGAAGGGCATCTGTTGCCACACCAGGGTCATTGTAATCTGTGTTATGGGTGCTGGAGCGTCTCGTGACGCTCGTGTGTTTTGTGGGATGTGTGCGCCTTGAATAACACAGAGGGGGACTGAAATACGCCAACTTCTAGTCTCGTAAAACCTACTTCAGCAGAATCACGATTCCGAAGCGTACTTACTGTAAACGGGGTACCAGCCTGGTCTCCAAGACTAAGAGCGGATTGACCAGGCGGTCGGTGGACGTTGCTGGGATCACAAGCTTTGTCCACACAAAGATGATTGCCCGAATGTTGTGCGAAACATGATCCGGACTCCAGCGTGGCAGGATAGTCATGACACGAGGCGTCTATCGCTGATGAACACATAGCTTGGGGCCAGCTGGCCACCGTCTGAATCACATCACAACTGCGATTTTGGGTATTGTGGCAGATGACTTGTTTTTTATCTGCAATTAAAAACGAACCATCCAGCCTGCTAATACAATGCTCTGCTGCCGACGCCAATGGAACAGCTACCTGTTTCCGCTCCCACTGAAAGATATGAAGATGATTGCCGTCAAAAGGTGCTTCGTCTAAGTGGGACCTCGCATTCTGAAATGACCACCAAGCGGTACGACAAGGTCGCATGCTGTGGTGGTGGTGGTGGGGGGGGGGGGGGGGGGGGGGGGGCTCGTGCCACATTCCCCACTGCTCAGTGGACACAGTTCGATCGGAGCGGTAGTTAAACACACTTTATTCGATAATGGATAAATACGCGACACACTACGAACCAACACTGTGATATGAATGCAGGCACAGTGTACAAATATCAAGCGTTAAACAGCGTACGGTAGCGGACCAGTGCAGGTGCGACAACAATCCACGTTGCATAGGTGCGGTGGGGCCGGCGAGGGCCGGCGGCGACGTGAGACCACAGCGGCTGCCGGCGGCGGCGTGAGACCACAGCGGCCGCCCGGCAGCTGTCGACAGACGGCCGCCCTCGGAGTGTCGCCCCAGCGCGGCGGTGCGCCCGCGGCCGGGCAGCCGCCGGCTCCGCGGACAGGCAACGGCGCCAACAAACGCAACAATATATCACAGAAGGGGAGCCGAACGGCGGCCGGCTGCGTACGACGCCGCCGCCGAACCCAGCCCCGCGTAGAGCGCGACCGTGGAAGACGGGAGTTGAACGTAGCGTGATCAAGTATCGATAAAAGCATATTGCACCGACGTAACGCAGCGCGAGGTTCGCCGACTGGCCGCCGAACAGACTCGCGTGACGACGGGCCGCGCCCGACAGAGGGCGGGCCAACATATCACAAGGGCAAACGCGCTACAAAAACAGGGGCCGCCTCCGCAGCGTTGAACACTAGCCCGACAGCGGGCGGCAGCGGAGACGGCAGACGATGGGGTGACTGGCCGGGCGCGGGCCGGGCAGGCGCGGCCCGCGCCCCTGTGGGGGTCGCCGGGGGCGGCGGCCGGGCGGACAGTCGGCGCTACTTGGCGTCGGTTCGTCGGCTGTGCGCCGTGTCCAACCGCAGAAACTCCTGCTTGAGGTAGCTCAGCGTCTTCATCAGCACCTCCTTCTCCTCACGGAGGCCCAGCACCTCGTCTTCGGCCTCCCGACACCTGGCAGTACGCGGGTCAGGTCAGGTCAGGTCAGGTCAGGTCAGGATCAGCATCAGACCAGACCAAGGTCGCAACACGCCAGGTCAAAGAGACACAGCCAGATGGTGGGGTCGCGCCAAAACAGGTCGAAGAGACGACCTCTCTGGCTGAGCACCCAACCGAAACAACATCCCCACCCAAATAAATATCACACCTGTCTCATCCCCACAGCGCACCACTGACCGACCCAGCCCCTGAACCATCGGCCGACGCGCCACCAGCGGGCGCCCGCGGCCAGTCCGGCGACGTCGGCGGCAGCGGCGACGGCAGTCTCACCTGGCCTCCAGCGCGGTCAGCTGGCTCAGCCGCTGCTCGGAACCGCGCCGCTGCTCCAGCTGGTCCTCCAGCAGCTGGCAGCGCCGTCGCAGCCGGCCCAGCTCGCCCTCCGAGCCTGACGCAGGGTTGTTGAACGAGCTGGCGACGTCCACCAGCGAGCGGGAGCCGGAGGGACCGGTGCCGGCGCCAGCGCCACCTGCCGCCGCAGACGCGTCGGTCAGCGCGGCCGCGCGCCATCGTCACGGACGCCTGTGTCGCCGCTCGAAGCATTTGTTCGCCACCTCGTCACAAGTTTCACCAGTCAGCATCGGTTTCTCGAGCACACCAGCCACGTAGCGAGTCTGCTTCAGGATGGAAAACTCTCCAGGAACGTAGACGAATGCATCAGCTGAAGCAGCCATGCGATCTGTGCTGATGTTCACAACTACCTTCTTACAACCAAACACACATTTTAAAGCGAGACTGCTGGTCACACCCGCATGCACCGGCACAGCGAAATTCCGTCCACTGAAATGCGTGCATGGCAGCACACAAACCTCGCTCAACGCATGGCGCAAGATCATCTTGACCCTGCTCCGTGTGATGAGCCTATAACTAATCTACGCGTGCCCTCCAACACACTCTATTCGGGCCAGCTCTGGTGTCGCCGGCCGTGGGCCGTCTCCGCTCGCCTGGCGTCGGCTGCTGGACGGTGAGCACGCGTGCCCTCCAACACACTCTGCCCGAGCCACCTCTGGTGTCGCTGGTCGTGGGCCGTCTCCGCTCACCTGGCGTCGGCTGCTGGACGGTGAACACGCCGGCGCCGTCCCTCGTGACGTGCACGGCTGGCAGGCGCAGGTCGAGAGGCACCACGCCCGGGCTCGTGATGTTGGGCGGCCGGTCTTCTGTGAGGCGCGGCTTGATACGCTCCAGGTGAAGCTGCGGCGACGGGGCGATCGGTGGAGGAGCAGGCATGACATGAGGGGGGGGGGGGGGGGGGGGTGGCATGGGGTCGGGCTCTGTGAGAGCCAGCGTGCCACACCCACCGGTGGGTGCATGAGCCCAGCGCGGGGCGGCTGCCCACTGACCAACAGGTAACAAGGCTTGCCAGGGAGTAAAACGAAGGCAATTCGCATGCTGAGGTGTACCGGGACTGCGAGTAGCGATCACAACATAACATGTTCTTGGTGGCGGACAAAACAGACATCATTTGTCTTCCTTCCTTACCATCTTCGCCCCTGCGCACATGAAAGTCCTTGTTGGAATGGCGCGCGCGTGATTGACGTACTCGCCACTGACTGACTCTGGCCTCGTCCCTCAGATCAACATCCGAGAGCAGGTGAGCAGCGAGCTGGAGGTGCGTGCCAGCGAGCTGGAGCTGGCTCTGCTGATGAGCACCGTCACCAACCTGACCGACTTCATCGAAGACGAGATCCTGCCCGTGCCACTGCCGATGGAGGTAAGGCTGCTGGCCGGCCGGGAGCCGGCCGTCGCAGCCGCCGCCTCTGGCCCCGGCATCGCCGAATAGACAGTGGGTGGGGGGGGGGGGGGGGCGGGAGGGTAAGGGCTTTAATGCGCGCAGGGGCGAATATGGTAAGAAAGGAAGACAAATGATGTCTGTTTTGTCCGCCACCAAGAACATGTTATGTTGTGATCGCTGCTCGCAGTCCCGGTACACCTCAGCACGCGAATTGCCTTCGTTTTACTCCCTGGCAAGCCTTGTTACCTGTTGGTGGTCAGTGGGAAGCCGCCCCGCGCTGGGCTCATGCAACCACGGACAGATAGGGGGGGGGGACCCAGCATGGTTGCGGCAGAGTTCAACGGTCACCTGCTGACAGGGCCAATGGCGAGACGGTGGGGACTTGGAAATGGTCTTGAACACAAGCATGGGTCGGCCGTCATATGTCGCCTAACCACAGCGTGAAAAGTGTGAAGCCGAGCCCGATGCTGGGACGCCAGAATCCCAGGGGCATTACAACTTAGGTGATGACCCTGCTACATCCCGCCGCGGTCGGCTGTCGATAATATCAGCCACGGCTGATATTACCGACAGTTTCGCCGAAACAGAACAGTAACGCGCCGCTGTACGCCGCAGCGTTCACTTGTCGGCTATTTCTCTTTTCGGGAACACGCGAGACTCCTTGACTTAACTGCAAATTGTCTTAGATCATATATTCAAGATAACGTAGCGCAATGCTTCAATTATTTCGCGGTGGGATGCACATTTCAAGGAGAAAACACACAACAACACCCAGCATCCCTAAATTGTATCCATTCCTGTTCCTCGTGGGAAATGTTAGTTATGACTGACTGCAATAAAAACACCACCTAATTTCAGCAAACACGTCTAAAGGAACGAGATCAGAATCGCGTGCCGTCAACGAGAACAGTGCATCACAGAACAGAACCACATTCCACTTTGTGACGCACCATCGGCACAAGATGGCCGCTGGCCACGCGGCGGTGCGCGGCCGGCCGGAGGTCAGGGGGCGGCTGGGGACGGTGGGGATGGAGCGCCACCAAACAAGGTAATCAATGTTTGGTGACGGGTTTCCAGACGCCTATGAAACGAATAAACACCATCACAAATATTGAGTTATCTCACAGACACAAATTTTGAGACAAACGACGACGTAAGATAGTTAAATCTTCTGCACGATAGCGCGTTTTTCAAACCAAGAAAACCTGACGTAACGCCTTGACGCTTCAGGTCGCCGCCACGCCAGGTAAACACGACAGCTCGCGGTGCATGTTTCCCCTCAAAGAGGAAGGGGGGAGGGGCAGCCCACACGGCCGAGGGCCGGTCCGGCGTCCGTTCACTCACCACGTCCCGCTTCCGCATGGCAGAGGAGAGCGACACCTCGCTGTGTGTGTCCTCAGTCACCTCGCTGGCGATCTCCACCGACGGCACCCGCTTCAGCGCCCCCTCCACCACAAACAGCGGGTCCACGGACTCTGCGGGGAGGACGAGCGGCCATCAGCATGCGCTCCACCACATCGAGGAGAGCGTACACACTGAGCCGACCAGGTGACCTTCGGAACAGTTTACAATACAGCGATACGCGAGTTGGGGTGTCTCAGCCGCCACAGCCCATCAGAATGTCGACCCAACGGTGTTGAATAGACAGGAGAGCGGCAGCGGGGCTTTCACTGGCTGTTGAGACGAGCCAGCCGGCACATCCTCAGCACAAAGACGGCGCTCACCAAACGGATGCCAGGGGTCATCTTGGACATATCCATGTGAAACGTACAGCCATACATAACGCCATGTCTCGCCAAGGGATAACAGTGGAGGATGGAAGTTTAATTGAGTGAGAACATCCATCATCCGCCACGCCGCTCCCTTCACACACCGAACAGTAAGCATGACACACCGTGTGCTTCAGCTCAAGCGAATTACTCATATGTCATACTTAAACAGACACTAACGACGCTGCAGGTGGGCGAGCGCACTGACCCGACTTGTCAAGCTCGAGGTTGAGTAGCACGTAGCTGTCCAAGTCGGACGACATGTCCGACATGACTGACATGGTGTCGCTCTGGTCGTCGGGGCTCTTGAGTGCCGAGTCCAGCGACGACAGGAAGCTATTGAGGCCGCGCTTCACCTGGCTCAGACCGGCGCCCAGCTCGGCCAGCGGCGGCGTGGGCGAGCCGGCGGCGCCGCTCGCCTGGCCGCCGGCGCCGGCCCCGGCCGCCACGTGGTTGGCCTCGGCGGCGACGGCCGGCGGTGGCGGCGGCGCGGGCGGCGGCTCGTCGGCAGGCAGCAGCGCCGCCGTCACCTCCGAGAGAGAGTCGACGCGCGTCGGCAGCAGGCCCGCCTCCTGGAAGCTGGTGACGCTGGACGAGTCGGGAAAGACGGACAGGTCGCCGCCGGACGAGTCCCTTGCTGGAGAGCAGGCAGGGCATGAGCAGGCTGATGTCGAGCTGGGGCAACGCGGCGCTGACACACTGGCTGCCGGCGCCGGCCGCGCCCAGCAGCCGCTCGGCGTCCAGCGTCAGCAGCGCCGACATCTCCGACAGCCGCTCCAGCTGGCGCAGCAGGAACAGGTACTGGAAGTGGTTCAGCTGCAGGCTGATCAGGCTCGGCACGTGCAGCACCATGGTGAGATCGCTGACACGGCCGTCGCTGACGCTGGCCACCTTGTTGCGGTTCTGGTACACCCACATGGAGACGGGAATGGCGTCGATGAACGGCACCGGCCGGTGGCGCACGGCCGACGTGCCGAAAAAGTCGCCCCAGAATGGGTCCATGTGGATGAAGACGACGTCGCGCGGCTCCTCCCAGAGCAGGCGGCCGGGCAGGCCCCGTCGGAAGTCCGGCACCGAGGCGACCACGTCCGCCGGCGCCGGCTGCACGTGGTCCTTACCTGGCGGCGGCGGACAAGGTCTCCATGTCAGACGCGCCCGCCGCACAACAACGCCGACTGGCCACCGACCATGCGCGTGGGCCCAAACACAGGCTCGCAGAACGGAAGACATCGAGAATAAACACAAACAAACCGGTGAGCCGCACATCCCACACTTGGGATCAGCAGCGAAGACAGCAATAGTGACAGTCACCGTGCTCATAGGAAACGCACGTGCTGTACCCCGGTGACTGACATTACAGGCGGCAAGCATCCGGCGCACGGGCAGTTGCACCAGAGCGCCGCAGTAGGCAGCCAGTCAGACGGACCAGGGCATGGCGAAATTCGCTTATAGGCGCCCGCCGCAAAATAGCACACTCTGGAACACGGCGACCCCTTAAACCAGCGATCGTAACTACCAGAGTTTTGAAACCGGATACTTGCGACAGAGGCCGGGGAAGAGGGCTGTTCGGGCAGGGGCGGCAGCGGTCCAGGACGTAGCGAGTGTGTGCTGCATCAGCCGGGTTCGGACAGGGGGCGGCAGGCGTCGAGGACGTACCGAGTGTGTACTGCACCAGCCTGTCGGGCAGGGGACGGCAGAGGTCGAAGATGTACCGAGAGTGTACTATACCAGCCGGTCGGGCAGGGGACGGCAGAGGTCGAGGACGTACTGAGTGTGTGCTGCACCAGCCGGTCGGGCAGCAGACGGCAAAGACCGAGGACATACCGAGTGTGTGCTGCACCAGCCGGTTAGGCAGCAGACGGCAGAGATCGAGGACGTACCGAGTGTGTGCTGCACCAGCCGGTCGGGCAGGGGGCGGCAGAGGTCGAGGATGTATCGAGTGTGTGCCGCACCAGCCGGTCGGGCAGGGGAAGGCAGATATCGAGGACGTACCGAGTGTGTACTGCATTAGTCGGGTTCGGGCAGGGGGCGGCAGAGATCGAGGACGTACCGAGTGTGTACTACACCAGCCGGTTGGGCAGGGGGCGGCAGAGGTCGGGGACGTACCGAGTGTGTACTGCACCAGCCGGTCGGGCACCATCTGCAGATCACCGTCGCGGGCCGGGAAGTCGGAACCGAACGCCATCTCGCCGGCCTGCAGCCGCTCTAGGCACTTGGTCAGGCCGGCCAGCGACCTGCCGCGCGCACGCAGACATCACACAACGGTCCGCTGAGCTGTCGGCGACGCGGGACCGAACGGGCCGGACCCACCAGTGAGCCGGCAGACACGCGGATCCGAACGGGCCGGGCCTACCAGTGAGCCGGCGGAGACGCGGGTCCGAACGGGCCGAACCCGCCAGTGTGCCAGCGGAGACGGCAAGCCAGGCCCATGACGACGGAGCTGCCGCTGCCACGTACATCCCACACGCAAACACTCGATCAAGAGTCTGAAGCGGGTGCCAGACTTGGCCAGAGGCATTTCGCAGACACGGACCGCCTCACACCTTGTCCGTCTGGCAGGGATCTGACACCAACACACAGACGTGACGCGGATCTGTCGGGCGGCGCGCACCGGGCACCTGCCGGTCGGGCGCGCCATACGTAACTGCCTCTACGGGGGCGCATCCCGACTTTTCAGGCACACATCAGGGTTGCGTAAGTCTGGCAAGCGGTACATCCTCACACTATATGCAGACTACGTAAACGTTAACGCCTCGGCACCAGACCACCTGAAAACGGTACATACCAGGACCTCGTTCATCAGTACACACTCTAGTCATTCCATCAGTGTCAGGGCACATACCCCGGCTCCGTGCAGCAGCACGTACCCGGGCGCAGTAGGGTCGGGCGAGCGGTAGTTGCAGACGAGCAGGCGGGTCGTCTGCAGCTGGAGCGTGCTCGGTCGGTCGCGCTGCAGCGGGTAGTCGTGCGTCGTCTCTAGCACCAGGCGCGGCATGATGGCCTCCAGGCGCAGGTCGATGTACGGCGCCGGCGCCGAGCCGGCCGTCGACAGCGACTTGGTCAGGTTGCACGCGAAGGCGTTCAGCCACAGCACGGTGATAGGGTCGACGATCACCTGTACCGGGTTGACGTGCACCATGGCCTTGGGCGGCGGCACTGCGGTGGAGAGCGGGCGAGGGGAGGGTTAACGGGCCGGCGCCAGAGGGCGCCGGGCGCCGGCGTCAATTTTTATAGGTTTTCAACATTCAGCGGATTAAACGAGGAGTAATCGCAAGTCATTGCTATGATACAGGGTACATCTGACTTAGACTTCAAAGACGCGAAAAATACGTGTACATGCAAACGAATTCCAGTTAACAGGTGGCATCACGCTAATACATCATTCATGCATGCAAGTGACTTCAAGAAACTAACTGCAAGTAAACAGGCATCGCGCACCACGTGTCACTTATATCCATGCAAACGAATTCAATAAACAGGCATCGAACATCACGCGTCAGGCATCGCTCAGACATGAACACGATTCTAAAGGGGATGTTCCACCTTTGAAGCTATTGAGGTGAGCATCAGATATGGTGGGAAAAACTTACTTGCAGCTATTGGTAAACTTTCAAGGCTTAAAAACGACCCTAAGTAGCAAAATGTTAGAGTTTGTAAAACTGCGCTCCATTACGTCATCGCTTGATGGCGTCATGAAATCAATTTGTGACGACGGCATCACCCGACAGCATCTGGCAGCCAGACCTAAAGAATGGCTCCAAATGCACGAAAGCTAACGCCAGCCGGCCATTCTCATCGCGGGCGCTGTGCCGGATGGCGGTTTAGTGAAAGGCTTGTTTGTAGATTTTTTGTCTTAGTACTGATCGTAGGAAAAGCTTTGGTGGGCTGTTTGACGAACGCAACGTACCGACCGCCAGCTTTTATGGCAGATTATTCACATCAAAGCACGATATACTGTGAAAATTGTCGTACAGTGCCATGAATCTCTCACCGAATCCTGTCAAGAACTGTTAAGGATGTCAATACTGTATTGTAGACCTATGCTTGCCTGCAGTGCTGTAGTGCTGACATTGATATCTTATGATGTGCACAGTCGTTACTTTCTTTAATATTTGTAACTGGAAATGCAGTCACATGCGAAGATAAACAGTACATCTATAACATTGCTATGAATTGATTACCAAAGTATTGTCATTGCTATGGTGAAGATGATGAGGTTGAGCTACCAAAAATGTTTTTCTTGCTCAGGACTATTCACGCATTCGCTGGTTAACGATTGCCACTGTATCATGTGATACAGCGGCAATCTCATGGGTGATAGCCCTTTGCCAGTGTTAAATTGTTTGTTGCCAGTCATTCATAAATCATAAACTGTTATCTTATAGGCTTGAAATACAGTAGTCAACTAATGTGGCACATTGTGTAATGGCACAGCTCAACAGTCATTGTGGCACCACCTCATTGCTGTTCTGTGGCATGGCATAATGGACAATGACGCGGTTGTTGTACTGCAGTCCCTGCTACTTTCATAATAAATTTCATCATGAGAAGATGAATCGAGCGTGCATTGTTATATTAACGCCGCGTCTGACGTGTGACTGACCAGAAGAACACATGACACGGTATACAAATTACTTCCCAAAAAGCGCACAACAATGACATCGCTTGCTCGGCCTATTTTGGGAATCCACAAAATGTCGGTGACAAAAACGTAAACAAGTCTTCTGCTTCCACAGCCATGCAACATGCCGCAGCCATCAGGATGCTCCACTCAAAAGTATTGTTCACACAAGTAATAGCACACGTATAACAAAAAAATATTACATGTAGTGAAATAACACTGCAAACCTGCTAACTGCACAAAGCTGAAGATAGGACAGGTGCATGTAGTTATGATTAGATGGGCGAAATGAAAGGCAGTGACGAAGCTGCCAGTGCACACAAGGCTCACGATAAAGATATTGTTGAGTGCCATCCAAGAAAGCAACAACAATACTTTTCCCTCTTTCCCAGCACCCAGCAACTCACACAAGTTGCAGTGACTATGACATAAACCACTTACAAGCAATGCTTGCCTGCCTACAAAATTTGTTGAAACAGTAATATTTGCATCCGTAAAAATGCATCTCTATATGTTTCGAATTATTAATGGAAAAGCAACTTTGCAAACTCGCATCATGCAAGTTTATACCACGCATATGCATTAATAAGCCTCAGGGAGCTGACCCTACTGCCAAAGTGAATTGCTAATATAACGGCATGCAAGGAATTAATCACATGTCTTACTACCTCAATAGGTTCAAAATGTTGGCAAATCATAATGAAGTGGCAAGGTGTCTTTGTACACCCCTGCAGTATAGAAAGTGCTAGTGTTTCTTCCGGTTTGCTGGCATCACTACCTTGTCATGTTCAAACAAAAACACAAGGAAAGAGGCGGATATCGATATATCATATTCTATTGGGAGTCATCAAACTGAAAGAATACCAAAACAATGCTCCCTTTCAGAAGAACAAAGCTCGCACGCACACTCCCCATCACTTTAAGATCAATACAAGCACGCACCACCAGTGACCATACCCATTGAGAGCGCCTGATGCACACACTTACGTCAAATAAGTGTGATCCCGCACTTGCACAGCCCGCGGGACTGTCAAACTGTAAGTTTTCTCACAATTTAGGCACAGGTTATAATTTATAATTTAGGTTATAACGCCGCATTTCACCGTGAGCTCCCTCCACTTGTAGGACACATATGGAAGGACCCAATTTTGTGTTCAATATTTTAATTTGTCAATCAGGTGTGTCTTGGATATCTCGTAATATATACATATATATATATATATATATATATATATATATATATATATATATATATACATATATATGTATATTGCTCCGGTGCACATGCGCCAACCCAGCTGTCTGTAAAAAATAAGTCAGTAGAAGAAAGGGAAATACGGCAGCAGGAGAAAAACGACAGATTTGCCGTCGCGTGTTCTTTTTTATACCATTCGAGAGAGTGCCGTTCTTTTTTCCCTTCCATAGAAACAAGGAAAATGCTCCGTTGACGAGTGCTGTACAACCCGACAGTGCTCACGCTTACGTTCGCGACACACACTCAGCAGCGAAATCTTACTGACAGCCATCATCTTCTACTAATTGTATCATACGTGCCGCATCACTGCTTTCGCGAATGAATCGGCGGCCGTGCTGTTTTTGACCATAAATTGAGAACAGCCTGTAAAATGACGGCGATCGTATGACGTTTCTATGACGACATCAACGACAATGTGGCTTTAAAAAAGTCTCCCCACAAACATTTCCCACTTTTGCGGACGTGTAACTCAGGAGGCAGAGGGTTTTGGGTCTGAAAAAGTGCATGGCTGTGAACTGCATCAAAGGGTCCTTAACACGGCTATTTCAGTTCAAAACCCCATATAAAGGTAGAACAGCTAGCTATCACGCATCACACATCAAGGCACTAATCACATTCGCATGATCGGTCATGGTAAGTCCTGTATGTTTAGGTCTGGTCGCCGACTTCTAATAATACAAGTTTTACTTATTCTTTTGCCTGGACAGGCCTGTGCTTTGTAGATGACTTTAAGCTCTAAAAGAGGTAAAGAGTCCGTGCCTCCCTGGATTTCAACCTAAGCATATTTTGTCACGTTTTTTTTGTGTGCGAACCCCTCGAAACCCAGGCATAAATAGAGAGCACCTCTTGCCCCCTAGGCACTTAGCCTTCGAGATAAAAGATTTTACCACCTACTAATTGTCATTCTTCAAAGCTATGCGCACACGCAGTTTTGATTTTCTAATCCTATGCTTGATTTTCCAAGGCAGGTACTAATCTATGCAAGGAGTATTAAGAATCTGTTGCCTGACGGAGCGTGCTCCCGTTTCCTACTATCCATGCCCCACGTACTCTAGATTGTTTGACCTGTTCCAACATTCTACCTATCAATCATGGAGAATAGCCATTGCCCATCAGCAAGGTCCGTATGTTATTTAGACTCTTTGTTTCTCTTTCACTACTTTATGAGTTGCTTGGATCCCTATAGGACACGTTACGAATTATACTATGCTTGGTGGAAGTTGGACATGCACATTCGCAGTGCAGAATTATACCAGAGTTGGTGGGCTTGATAAAGGGCTCCATTTCTAACGTTGTGCGGTTGCCCCTCCGTTTTACCGTCACTAGCGTGTCCAAAGGTGGGACTCCTCTCCGTACCCTGTATGCTCCATCGTAAAGGCTAAATTTGGATGCTGATTGTTCATGAGCTCTAGAAATCACTCAAGGGCATGTTGTTCGCCCGTCCATACCCCAACATAATCATCGATGCATCTAGCTTGGAAAGTCGGTTTGGCTGCCGGCCAGGGCCAACTTGGTCTGAACTTTTACCACCAGAGGATCAGCGCATTGACTCCCCATTGCTATGCTCAATTTCTGTCGAAAGTAACCATCTCCGAACGAGAAGACACTATCCTAAAGACACTCCATGGAAATGTTTGTCTACCTTAGCTTTCACGGCAGCGATAACCCTATTGATTGATTTATTGCCATGTAAATTGACAACATCTACACTGAAGAAAATACTGCCCTCCGATAGCTATTCTGCCTGTTAATGTTTGGAAACCCTTTTAAAAAGTCTGTTGTCCCACAGATGCGTGGAGAAAACAACAGCAAAACCTGGGTTGGTTGAGTATTGCCTCCAAAAGACACGAAGTTTTTTCAGTATGAGCACCTCACAGAGATACCACGGGTCTAAAGGGTACTGCAGGCTTATGGTACTGATGCAGCCAATAGAACACAGGCGTTGTACTGTATTTAAATGTTAGATCTTTGATGGTTTTGCCCGAAAGTTTCCCGCTATCTGTACTCTTCAGCGTTCTTTTGTTTTAGCCTCTACCTGAGGGACTGCATTCGTACTGAGTTTTTTCGTAACTGTCTCCGTCGGTAAGTATAACGTGACCTCTGATCACATAAGTTACCTTATCTAAAATTACAACACCGTTACACTTATCACTCTGCTTAACCATTATCTCATCATTTTTGCTAAGGTCTCTGATGAAGTTCCGCTGATCTGCAGTGACATTTAGTTTGCCTGTACCTTTTGAACGTGCGCGGTACGCTATGCTTTTATTTATGTACGCTGACTTCTACATCATTACTGGAAGGTCCAGGAAAGTTCATTCCGATATCTGGAAATCTCAACGACAGATTCGGGATGCGACCTGGATGCGGCTGACCTTCGTTACCACCTTCTGCGTCTGCCCCACCGACGTCACGGGGTCCATTCGCCAGTCTCGATGGTGCTTCTGTTGCATCTGTTGAAGCTGGTGGTAACCTCGTGTTGAAGTTAGTGTTGAAGTTGGCCCGGTGCAGTCGCGATACCAGTGTGTTGCTACCATCACACAATTTTGAGATGTAGTCTTTCCACCGCTGGTCAAATGCAAAACACTCAGCTCCTTCCTCTACCTGAAATAAAATGTCCTTAGACGTTGCGTCTGTGCCAAGTTAGGACTTTGGCTAGAAGACTAACTTTTGCGGTATTTAGGTCTACGGACGATACATTATTCACTCTCTTTTTACTACTCTGACTAGCGACCAGTTCTGCATGGCCATGATTGACTTGGCGCTCGGCTTAAAGTTGTATGAACTTGTTCACCTATCTTCGTCTATTTTCGCAAGTGGTGATGTCAGAAACTGGTGCATACCTCGCACATGCATAAGCGTGCCTTTTGTACTCTGTAAAACACGAGATCGATTCAAATAACCGTGAGCGTTGTTGTTCTAAATAGGCTTTTTTCGAAAGGTTTCTGCGATTGCCTTGTATAATAAAACCTTAACAAGGCTGACGCTGCGCGGCCCACGCAGTCTGTAGGAATGGGAATGGGGTAAAAGTTGTTGTGTCTGACTTGCAACCGCGCATGCTCAAAACTATGTTATATAACTTTTCGATAATTGATTCTGACCAGGGGTTGAACACTCAGATGCATATGGGTTGGTCAAATAATCGTTTACGCACATTTTGACCTCATTTCTATCGTCAACGTTCACATGGTGTCCTGAATATCTCCACAGAATCCGGAGGAAATTGACCGAACTTCCGAGTTTTATCGGCCTAGAAAGGATCCGTGTAACTGTTGCGGCGGCATTCTGCTCCATGCAGTCGTTTAACGCCCGCTTCCTTTAGTTTAAGACTCCAAAATATGAACAGGATTGCTTCTGGTATCTTCGTAGGCTTCTGTTCCAAATGACTAAATCAAACATAAAATTGAACCGAAAAATCCTATGCTCTTGAGATAAAGTCGTCAAATCCATTTGTGTGTGTGTGTGTGGGGGGGGGGGGGGGGTTTCACCATCCGGGGTTCTTTTCCCATCCTTGTAACTCCCTCTCATCTTACCAAGGCCCTGGCTGCGCCCTTGTGCAATATGATGGAGAAGTGGGCAATTAGGTAACCAATCATGACATTTTCTCACCGGTCTTTAGGCTGGGCCACTCCTGCCCAGGTGACACTGCCGCACATGTTAAACAATGGTGATGCAGGCTTGCCAACAGAATTTGATAAGAGCTGAAGGCGTCCTTTGCACACACTTAGAGCATTGATACCTCAGACAGGGCGGTCGGCCGCTCAACAGTTGCGTCGAGGTGGGCCTGACTCCGTCTCTGCCTGGTGTCTACAGACCCCTTCCGACATGCCGAGCCTGAGTGGCCGGTGTGACTGTCACCAAATATTGCCCGATACGTGCTCTGGCAGGCTGAACAGACGATTGTGCCGGTGTTAGCCCGATTGGCACCAGACCGCACACCTCACCCAGGATACACAGGCTGCTCAGGCGCGGTCATCAGGTGCGGGATGCCAATGTGCTGGCGCTGCACGTGCAATTGATTTGTGCCTTTTTGACCTTTGAGAACTTATGGAGATCAGCTTGAGATAAGACCCAAGCAGTTGTTTTTTATGCTGAAAAATGTGATTTGACTGGTACATTTTGCGTTCGTTTCAACTTAACTGATCAAAAAAAGGTTACCTGCTTTATTGATCGCTTCTCTGAGGCTCATGGGAGGTCCTTGGACTAAAACTACCTTGTTCAACCTTTACATTGAGGAACTTGTCGTCCCGGGATATTTGGTGACCCGGGGTTTACTTCAAATGCCAAAACTATCTTAAAAGATGCTTCATCTTGCAAGTTCAGGAAAAATCACTGATCTGAAATGACCCGGAATTATGACCTCTGGCTTTAAAATGTCGTCTAGATTGCAGAGGATTACAGGTACCCACACATCATTCTCTTAGCAAGGGGTGGGGGGAAGGGTGGGGTGGGGGGGGGGGGGGTAGCCGACCGGAGCTCAGCGAGAATCAATTACGCGTTAGAGCACTTCGGCCACTGATTTGTTAACACTGACTGAGACATGTGCACGTACAGGGTAAAGCGTAACATGGACGGGTAACAGGGGACATGGGTAAAACAAAAAGTGGTAGCACCAAGCCTTAGGCAATAATAAAATATACCCGGTACGCAAAGTTCATCGCTATTTGTAGCATGAATACGCCATGTAAGGCTGTGACCAGTATTTTTAATTAATGCAAATAAGATACCAACATACTTCAACAACATGACGTGATAAGATTCAACTGACGTCATATTGTTGAAGTATGTTGGTATCTTTCTTTGCATTAATTA